ATATATATATATATATATAACTATGACTATATTCTATCAATTTCTCGGTCAAAATAGGTCAAAGTCGATTAAATTAAAATATTTCCTTTTATATAACGCCATGATATACACAAAAAAAAAAAAGAATCCCACATCTGACCCAAAATAAACCAAATCGGATTAAGAAAATTCATTAATTGTGTCAATTGACCCCAACCAAATCAAAATTCGACATCAAATGGGAGGATTCCCACCTAAAAATCGATCAATAATTAAAAAATATACTCCTCTTAAGATATTATTTACATTTATTAACTCAAAATAAATAAAAAAATTGAAGTATTGTGTATCACATCCATTGACTTAGAATTACAAAAAATAAAATAAAATAGCTTTTGTCAGTGAGTAGTTTGTGGAATTTTGCTTTTGCTCTAATTATGGTGCATCAGTTGATTCAGTCCAAAGAGTTGTAATAATTTCTATTTAGATCGACCTTATAATATAATACCTCTCTATTGACTGTCATCTTGTTCTTCTCTGGTCCTTCTTCTTCAGCATTTCAATCACTTCCTTTTTGTTGGGTCTTTATATTATGTTGAACAGAACATATGAACTGAACCTTCTGTGGGGGAAACAATGAGTCTTACTTGGTTGATTGAATTCCAAGTGAAGGAGAAGGCTTGTTGTTCTCACCAGTGGAGGAGAGTTCAGGCTACTGCTTGTAGTAGTAGTAGTAGCATAATTCATTGCACCAATTAACCAAACTCCAAACATTTTAGCTGCTATCTTTTTTTCCAAGTCAAACATTGTTCTTGTGAGGCAGAACAATGTTTCATTTCGTCTCCCTCACACTCTTCTCATTCTATCTTCTTCTTGCTCTATCTCTCTCTCTGTCCGTGGCAGAAGAAGATGCAGGCTTCTTGGATGATGCTGTAGCATTATGACCTCACTCTTGCCGCCCTCCATGAGCCTAATCCCCAGTGTTCTTTGTGTGAAGTCAGTCCTCCCCCATGCACTTCTTAACCCAATGTTGGAACTGATGCATCATGTGAACTCTCTACGCACTAAAACCTTGAAATCTCTGGGCTGGAGTTTCCACCCTTGCAAACCAAGCATGAGAAGATGAGCTGCCACTGTCCCAGAACAGACTTCCCACGTGAGATCAAGCCCGCCCACCATTCCTTGTTAATACGTGTGCATGACAGTTGGACTACGAAGCAAGATAAAGCTTGGAGTGAGAGCTATAAAGGGGAAGGTGAGGCTTGTGTGGAGAAGCGTTTCGTGGTGGGGAAGGATAGGAAGGGGGTGAGACAGGCAATGGGGAGGCAGCCATGCTGTGATAAGGTGGGGTTGAAGAAGGGGCCATGGACAGCAGAGGAGGACGAGAAGCTGATCACCTTCATCCTCACCAATGGCCAGTGCTGCTGGAGAGCTGTGCCTAAGCTTGCAGGTGACTCTTTTAACTTTTTGATCCCTCATTTTATTGGCTACGTTTCTTCCTTCTCTGGTTGATATCATTGGATCTGATGTTGATGCAGGACTTCTGAGGTGTGGAAAGAGTTGCAGGCTACGATGGACAAACTACCTGAGGCCTGACCTGAAGAGAGGATTGCTGTCAGATGATGAGGAGCAGATGGTCATTGAGCTCCATTCTCAGCTTGGAAACAGGTCTCTCTCTCTCTCTCTCTCTCTCTCTCTCTCTCTCTCTCTGTTATTTGATGGTTGGACTCCACTGCAACTGAAGCAAGGGTTTTGTGTGCTACCTCAGATGGTCCAAGATCGCATCTCATCTCCCTGGTAGAACTGACAACGAGATCAAGAACCACTGGAACACCCACATCAAGAAGAAGCTGAGGAAGATGGGAATCGATCCCGTGACACACAAGCCCCTACGTGAGGAGCCCTGCTTACACTCCTCTCCCCAGGTACCGGCGGAGCAAGTGGAAGGGAAGAACACAACAAGCATCTCTGCCACATGCTCCGTTTCACCATCGTCATCGTGCTTTTCTGAGAAAGCTGAGGAGATCCAGCTTCCACGCATGGAGTGGCCAGAATCTGCATACCTATATGGGTTGGACGACTTGGGTGGATGGGATTTCACCTCTGATCACCTTCTCCTTGATTCTTTCAGCCAGTGTCAAAGAGCAGCCTTAGATCAGGAATCCTGGAAATTTGAGCTCTTCTAATCTCATACATCTTGCTTCTGTAATTTTTGCTTGCAGATAAAATAAAGAGGAAGCAGAATGAATAAGAAAGCAAAATTCATATCTTGATTCTGTAATCTGTGCTTTAAGGTTGGGGTCAATTTTTCCTGATCGATTAGAATAAAATCATCACATCAACATGAAATCTCAACAGGGAATAGTATTCTATAATAGATCTTTCTATAAACATTCAATGAGATCGTGCTGAAGAGTTTGAGAGATCGGATTACATAGGATCATCAAAACCTTTTGGTCCTACAAACAATGTCGACAAAAGAAGCGTCACACTTGAATCACCAATGACGACATAACATCATACGAGAGTGAGCACGCGGCAGCCAAAAGCCACAGCACCCGCTACAGAGGAGGCCACTTTCCAAGTGAGCAATTGCATGTGCATCAGCGACAATCCGCGACTGCTTTCTTGCACTGAATGAATGCCTTCAGACCATGCAATGATTGCATGCCCACCTACTCGCTTCAGTGACACAAAGACGACGAGAAACTATCGAGAAAAAGGAACAATGCATGCACGGTACAGTGGAAGTGGTGATGACAAAGGTTGAAGCTGATGCATGATGAGGTAAGGCATGTTAAGATAATCTTAATATAAATTTTATTGATTTAGAAGATGTCAATAGCTTATTTAGACTATAAATAAGAGAGTCATCTGCAACTAAGCACGCATGGAAGTGCAGTGACATAAGATCATTAAACTGAAACCATGATGAATGTGTCTTTCTATGCATGAATCGAACCTAAAGATCGACCTCAATATATGGTGGAACCAAAGAATTAGCACTGTAAAGGCGAGAAAAGAAGCTGATGGAAGACGAAAGTGGTATGAAACCATGAAGCAGATAAGAGATTAATGGTCCATCTGAGCTCGACGTTTCCAAACATGGACTTCGCTTCAGGGTCCAAACACCGCGTCTTCTCCACTCGACGCCTCGCCATGGCAACTTGCTCCGAATGGAACGTGGAATCATGTTCCTTAGGGCGCCGTCACCTCAATCTTTGTCTCCTTCAATATCAATGTCAACGGACGTGTCTCTTCACTACCTTCTTTTGTTGCTCTTCGATGCTTTGTTGAAGCTTTCCTGCGTTGCCATGAAGTCAAAATTGCAGTATGAACATTAGAACAATGCAGGGCTATCTTTTTCTTGGACCAGTGAAGAGTCAATTGTGAGAGCAAGTTTTGGAGAACTTGACACCATATCGTTTGCAAAGATCACCAAGTCAAAAAGAAGATTCATATGAGATCATGTAATGTGAACCAGTGGACTAGATCCATACTAAAACCCCAGACCATGTCAAAAAGATGGGAGAGAATAAAGTGGGACAATCCATGCATGTATAGCAACAACTTTAGATCATAGTATTGTAGGTAAATTGGATGTAATTTGAGGATAGTTATATATTATCTCTTGTAATTAGTTATATTTAGTATATTGATCCCTAAACTTTTAAAAGTTATATTAAAATTTTTATACTTATGAAAGTGAAACATTTAACCTTGTTTCTCCTCACGTCGTTGACTTTACTGATAAAAATATCATAGGATTTATCATAGAGCATGTGTTGTCTCTGCCTCACTTTGGTTTACAATTGAGCATGTATGGTATTTTCGTTAGCAGAGTGGATGACGTGAAAAGAAACAAGATTACATGTTTCGCTTTCATAAGTATTAGGGTCTCAATATAATTTTTGAAAATATAAAAATTAGAATACTAAAGCTAATTAATTACGAGAGAGAATGTGTAATTAGCCCTGCAACTTGTGATGCTATGAATATTTTCAACCTATCTCATGTCCATTATCACAAAACAAAAACATTAATAGAAAATAAACTTTTTGAGGATATCCAAACATACCAAAAGCATCCTCCACCTCATTCTTCACTGTATGAGTTAGGATCACAACACACTATTGAAGAAGCAAGCTATAGTAAATGAAAAAACAAAGAATTAAATGTTAAATCATATGCACAATTTTGATGGTATATGTAAGAAACCTATTTGGACAAATAATGTTATCATTTTTATCTAATTTACTTTTCTAGAACTTCTAATTTTTTGTGTGTATTTCTTCCTGAACAAACCTTTGATGAATAGAAATTACAAAATCCAGTGTTGCAGTTGAACTATGTGATGTCTAATATATTTATACATGTTCTTCAAATTGCCATTTCACATTCTCTTATTCTTACAAAATAAAATAGCACATAAATTAAGATAACAAGTATTTATTCATAAATCCTAACAAACAAATAAATTTTTACAAGTAAATTTTAATATTCAGAAATTATTTTTTTTGTAGTAATCTAGAAGTAAAACACTAATTGAGAAAATACATGAACACTTACCATGCTCACTGTCTCAAAGATGGAACTCCTAAACCCAAGAATTGCAGTATTCAGATATGTGGGCCTAAATTCATGTTGATAGACAAAATTCAGGTGATATTTCCCTAACTTCATATAAGTTTATTTGGGTATACAACAATGCAACTATCAAAATAATTTGATTTAAATTTAGGTTCATATTGGACATAAACCATGCTTTAATTAATTATTATTTGAGTCACTGTCTACTCCCAAATTGCAACTTAGGACTATTCTCTTTTTGTGGACATGACTCGAAGTGTAACTAAAATAGGCTTACTCAAGTCAAACCTTCCAACCATATGAGAGCTTGGGTCAAGCTTCATTTCCTCTTGCTATCAATGTTGATCAGCTGGCTTTATAATTGAGTCTTGATCCAATATGATATACAAGATTTTATGTTGCAAGTCCTTTATATTCTCTTATGATATGAATTTCCAAAGTAAGACCTATATGTAACACTTATTTTCATGACTCAAACCCTAATTATTTAGGTCAGAAATGAGCAAATCTCAGATTAGGTTATTTGGAAAATAGTATATATGGAAAAAAAATCATATATTAATAATCACACAAAATTATACCAATGCCTCTAATCAGAGAGAGAGAGAGAGAGAGATTGAAGTGACAGAATATAATGACTCGAGCCTGATGGGTTAATAGTCTAAACCACTGACCAAAATGCTTAAGCTGAAGTTGATAGTAGTACTCCTGCCCACTTTCGATGTGAGACTAATCAGGAGTGTTACAATCACCCCCACTTAAAGGCTTGACGTCCTCGTCAACCTTACTCTACTCTATTTTTTTTTTAATGCTTATTTCATTCTTTTTCCTCTTTGGATTATAACCAAATCAAAACTTCTCGAGTTATCAGAATCCACTATGAAATTGGAATGAAATCCTCCAATATTTCCTATCTCTCCTTGTCCAATCCAAACAAAAAGGGATAATTTGAACAAAAGGTACACATCTTTTTTTAGAATTAGTCTGTTTTTATGTTATTTCGTACTGTACAATTCCTTTAGTTTGCGAGATCATTTACCCCTCGGGGTAATGAAAAGAATTATAGAATTAGAATGGATTGTTAATTATGCCTAGATCTCGGATAAATGCAAATTTTATTGATAAGACCTCTTCAATTGACGAGTCCTCTAACTCCGTCTACGGGTAGCCCTTTCCTACTCGAGCTCCCTCACCATGCCCAAATGCTAGATCGGCTTTGATACCAAATATAATGACTTGAGCCTGATGGGCTAACTGACCTATCAACTTCGTTTAGTCTAAACCACTGACCAAAATGCTTAAGCTAAAGTTGATAGTAGTACACTCATCAGACTCTTATAAGTCAATCTTAATCCTGTCCACTTTCGATGTGGGACTAATTAGGGGTGTTACACAGAAGGTGTTTGAGTTTAATACAGATTTATTTTTTTCCTAATGACTTAAACTTTTAGAATTACTAATTGCTCAATCAAAATCTTAATTACAGTGCTAGAAAAGGTTATGAGTTAGAATCATGTATATATTCCCCCCTATTTTATCTGGTATTTCAGTAAACTTTTAAGATTTCTAATAAATCAAATCAAAATATTTATCAGAGGGGAGATTCTATCTATATACAAAAGATGTCCCTTTCATACACTAAGATATTTTAGGGGAGAACATGGAAGTGACACAGATACAGTTTCCATATAGGAACACAACAGGCTGGTTTGGTAGATGGAAGAAGGAGAGGTGAATGAGTGTGTGTGATTAAGCAGTGGTTCAAATGTCCACGAGCACATCTAACTTCTCTAATCATCTGGTTCATGGTGTCTTCTTCATATCAGCTGGCTTCCTTCTTTCACTGTTCCAGCATCATTGCCCTTCTTCTCCTTGGAGTAGATGGGTTGTTGTTGTTATGGATCACATGCAGGGGAACCTGAACCGCAAGTCAACATAGCCATCTTGTTCTCATAGCAAGCCGGAAGCACCCATATATATGATCGATCCCTTTTCCTTTGATCTTTGAGCTATGTGTAAACCACTCCATGAAGCTTTCATGTGTCACCAGAGGCCTTCCGTTGCATGTACAGTGTCTTCTATGTCTGACGCTTGGTGGGGGTCACGGCAGAAAACTCCATGCACACGCATAGGGTGAGTGACGTCCATGCCATGCTTTGTGTCAGGTGAGCAGTCCTTGTGCTCTCGACCTTGTGTTCGTTGTCTGTTCGACCTTGAAGAATACAATTGGTAAAGCTCAGCTGCTGCTGCTGCTTCTTCTCCTTCTGCTTCTTGAAGTATGACAACATATAACAGTCATGCTAATCTTAGACCAGATTCTTCCTTTCTTGCTCTCCACCTTCTCTACTGTACTTTCAGAGTTAGGATCACAATATGAGCCATCAAGTCTTCATATCCTCGATTGAGATCAAGAAATAGCTTTGTTTGAATGTCATTAACCACAGAAATAGGGTCTGAATTGCAAGAAAGATATGGAATCAGCCATTCACATGGGCTGAACTTGAGATAAAAGTTGATTGCATTTACATAAGAAGGAGCCTAATGCAATGGTTATATGAACATAAATGCACAAAAGCAGATGATTAATAGATAAGCAGCAGGCAAAGCTGCTAATCTCCTATAACAAGCTTTCTGCATGCTTTGTGGTCCGTTTCTCTCCCAAGGGTTATTATCTTCCTCCTCCTCTCTCTCTCTCTCTCTAAGCCACATACACAAACATAGAAAGAAGAAATATTTTAATCTTTGATGTACAAACATGAAAAGAGCATAAGGTTTAAGGCATCTAGAATTAATGTGCTACAAGAGAACCAGTCTTAACATGTTTGTAAGGTCATATATTTGGTGTAAACAATCAAGTCATATGGTACAGAAACCACAAGTCATTTCCTTTGATGCACATAATTTCAGCATAATTTTAAGGTCGAATAGAGAGCGAAGATGAGGTTTAAATGAAGGACTGCACATTTGACAAGGCTTGGCATGGATAAAACACCTGATGGTGATCTCACCTATACTGTAGGTGGCTTCTAATTCTGAGAAGGTCATGTCCTGCATTATCATCTTATTTTTCTACGTCTTTTAGTAACTTCAAAGTAAAGATGCATTTGCTATGGAATTAAGGCTTGGCATGGATAAAACACCTGACGGTGATCTCCCCTACACTGTTGGTGGCTTC